AGAGACAAAGAGAGACATTTAGAGACAAAGAGAGACAAAGAGAGACAAAGAGAGACAAAGAGAGACAGAGAGACAAAGAGAGACATTTAGGCCGCGGCCCCACGGGAACGAAAACAGGTTGAATCCGCATACTTCTCTTGCGTATAGCCCTTTAACACGACGCCGTAACGGAACGGTAGAAACGGACCCTGCAAACGGACCCCTGAAAACTCTGCCCGGATCCCTCGGCCCCCACCAAGGAGAATAAACAGAAGTGCAGCCATGACAACCATTCTTCTTCGCTGCTTTTGTGGAGGAAGTTACAGCGCCACGTACAGGCTCGGCATATGTACTGCAGCTTTTCCAGCGGTTGGATGTAAACGGAGCTGTCTCGTGTGAACAGACACTATCCGGGGTCTGTTGCGTGAGGACGGAAGCTTTTTGGCGATTGCGTTTGCGTTAATCCTATGCGTTTTGTTCCTGTGGGGCCGGGGCCTCAGAGACACAGAGACAGACAGAGAGACAGACATTTAGAACACGTCTCATTGTTTCTGACAGCAATGTTTCTGATTGGCCCGTGGGTTTAAAGCCCGCCCACATTTTAGTAATGTGGTCATGACGCAGCAAATCTGGATCAGCTCCGTTGTTCCCCGTTTTTAGAGATGTGGGTACGGAGGAAAAGAGGGAGGGGTTTATTTCCTGACACTTTGAGAGTCTCCTGGCACACCGGGGGGACACCGGGGACACACACCGGGGACACGCCGGGGACACACCGGGGACACACCGGGGACACACCGGGGACACACGGGGGACACACACCGGGGACACACGGGGGACACCGGGGACACACACCGGGGACACGCCGGGGACACACCGGGACACACGGGGACACGCGGGGGACACGCCGGGGACACACGGGGGACACACGGGGGACACACGGGGACACGCGGGGGACATGCCGGGGACACACGGGGGACACACCGGGGACACACGGGGACACACGGGGGACACACGGGGGACACACCGGGGACACACGGGGACACACCAGGGACACACCGGGGACACACCGGGGACACACCGGGGACACATGGTGATGTAGAGAAGACATCAGAAAGTGACTTGATAGGAGAGCTTTAGAGAGACAGCAGAAGAAGAAGTAGAGATGTGTCTCCTGAAGCAGAAGAAGAAGAAGTAGAGATGTGTCTCCTGAAGAAGAAGAAGTAGAGATGTGTCTCCTGAAGAAGAAGAAGTAGAGACGTGTCTCCTGAAGCAGAAGAAGAAGAAGTAGAGATGTGTCTCCTGAAGAAGAAGAAGTAGAGATGTGTCTCCTGAAGAAGAAGAAGTAGAGACGTGTCTCCTGAAGCAGAAGAAGAAGAAGTAGAGATGTGTCTCCTGAAGAAGAAGAAGAAGTAGAGATGTGTCTCCTGAAGAAGAAGAAGTAGAGACGTGTCTCCTGAAGCAGAAGAAGAAGAAGTAGAGATGTGTCTCCTGAAGAAGAAGAAGAAGAAGTAGAGATGTGTCTCCTGAAGCAGAAGAAGAAGAAGTAGAGATGTGTCTCCTGAAGAAGAAGAAGAAGAAGTAGAGATGTGTCTCCTGAAGAAGAAGAAGTAGAGATGTGTCTCCTGAAGAAGAAGAAGTAGAGACGTGTCTCCTGAAGAAGAAGAAGAAGAAGTAGAGATGTGTCTCCTGAAGAAGAAGAAGTAGAGATGTGTCTCCTGAAGAAGAAGAAGTAGAGACGTGTCTCCTGAAGCAGAAGAAGAAGAAGTAGAGATGTGTCTCCTGAAGAAGAAGTAGAGACGTGTCTCCTGAAGAAGAAGAAGAAGAAGTAGAGATGTGTCTCCTGAAGCAGAAGAAGAAGAAGTAGAGACGTGTCTCCTGAAGCAGAAGAAGAAGAAGTAGAGATGTGTCTCCTGAAGCAGAAGAAGAAGAAGTAGAGATGTGTCTCCTGAAGAAGAAGAAGAAGTAGAGACGTGTCTCCTGAAGCAGAAGAAGAAGAAGTAGAGATGTGTCTCCTGAAGAAGAAGAAGAAGTAGAGATGTGTCTCCTGAAGCAGAAGAAGAAGAAGTAGAGATGTGTCTCCTGAAGAAGAAGAAGAAGTAGAGATGTGTCTCCTGAAGAAGAAGAAGTAGAGACGTGTCTCCTGAAGCAGAAGAAGAAGTAGAGACGTGTCTCCTGAAGAAGAAGAAGAAGTAGAGACGTGTCTCCTGAAGAAGAAGAAGAAGAAGTAGAGATGTGTCTCCTGAAGCAGAAGAAGAAGAAGTAGAGATGTGTCTCCTGAAGAAGAAGAAGAAGAAGTAGAGATGTGTCTCCTGAAGCAGAAGAAGAAGAAGTAGAGATGTGTCTCCTGAAGCAGAAGAAGAAGTAGAGATATGTCTCCTGAAGCAGAAGAAGAAGAAGTAGAGATGTGTCTCCTGAAGCAGAAGAAGAAGTAGAGATGTGTCTCCTGAAGCAGAAGAAGAAGAAGTAGAGATGTGTCTCCTGAAGCAGAAGAAGAAGAAGTAGAGATGTGTCTCCTGAAGAAGAAGTAGAGACGTGTCTCCTGAAGCAAAGAAGAGAATTAGAGATGTGTCTCCTGAAGCAGAAGAAGAAGAAGTAAGAGATGTGTCTCCTGAAGCAGAAGAAGAAGAAGTGAGATGTTGTCCTCCTGAAGAAGAAGTAGATGTGTCTCCTGAACAAGAAGAAGAAGTAAGAGATGTGGTCTCCTGAAGCAGAAGAAGAAGAAGTAGAGATGTGTCTCCTGAAGCAGAAGAAGAAGAAGTAGAGATGTGTCTCCTGAAGAAGAAGAAGAAGTAGAGATGTGTCTCCTGAAGAAGAAGTAGAGATGTGTCTCCTGAAGAAGAAGAAGTAGAGATGTGTCTCCTGAAGAAGAAGTAGAGATGTGTCTCCTGAAGAAGAAGAAGTAGAGACGTGTCTCCTGAAGCAGAAGAAGAAGTAGAGACGTGTCTCCTGAAGCAGAAGAAGAAGAAGTAGAGATGTGTCTCCTGAAGAAGAAGAAGAAGAAGTAGAGATGTGTCTCCTGAAGCAGAAGAAGAAGTAGAGACGTGTCTCCTGAAGCAGAAGAAGAAGAAGTAGAGACGTGTCTCCTGAAGCAGAAGAAGAAGAAGTAGAGATGTGTCTCCTGAAGCAGAAGAAGAAGTAGAGACGTGTCTCCTGAAGCAGAAGAAGAAGAAGTAGAGATGTGTCTCCTGAAGAAGAAGTAGAGATGTGTCTTCTGAAGCAGAAGAAGAAGAAGTAGAGATGTGTCTCCTGAAGAAGAAGAAGTAGAGATGTGTCTCCTGAAGAAGAAGAAGTAGAGATGTGTCTCCTGAAGCAGAAGAAGAAGTAGAGACGTGTCTCCTGAAGAAGAAGAAGTAGAGACGTGTCTCCTGAAGCAGAAGAAGAAGTAGAGACGTGTCTCCTGAAGCAGAAGAAGTAGAGACGTGTCTCCTGAAGAAGAAGAAGAAGAGATGTGTCTCCTGAAGAAGAAGAAGTAGAGACGTGTCTCCTGAAGCAGAAGAAGTAGAGACGTGTCTCCTGAAGCAGAAGAAGTAGAGACGTGTCTCCTGAAGCAGAAGAAGTAGAGACGTGTCTCCTGAAGCAGAAGAAGAAGAAGTAGAGACGTGTCTCCTGAAGCAGAAGAAGAAGTAGAGACGTGTCTCCTGAAGAAGAAGAAGTAGAGACGTGTCTCCTGAAGCAGAAGAAGAAGAAGTAGAGACGTGTCTCCTGAAGCAGAAGAAGAAGTAGAGACGTGTCTCCTGAAGAAGAAGAAGAAGTAGAGATGTGTCTCCTGAAGCAGAAGAAGAAGTAGAGACGTGTCTCCTGAAGCAGAAGAAGAAGTAGAGATGTGTCTCCTGAAGAAGAAGAAGAAGTAGAGACGTGTCTCCTGAAGAAGAAGAAGAAGTAGAGATGTGTCTCCTGAAGCAGAAGAAGAAGAAGTAGAGATGTGTCTCCTGAAGAAGAAGAAGAAGTAGAGATGTGTCTCCTGAAGAAGAAGAAGTAGAGACGTGTCTCCTGAAGCAGAAGAAGAAGTAGAGACGTGTCTCCTGAAGAAGAAGAAGAAGTAGAGATGTGTCTCCTGAAGAAGAAGAAGAAGTAGAGATGTGTCTCCTGAAGAGAAGTAGAGAATGTTCTCCTGAAGAAGAGAAGTAGAGACGTGTCTCCTGAAGAGAAGAAGAAGTAGAGACGTGTCTCCTGAAGAAGAAGAAGTAGAGACCGTTCTCTGAAGAGAAGTAGAGATTGTCTCCTGAAGCAGAAGAAGTAAGAAGAGACGTGTCTCCTGAAGAAGAAGAAGAAGTAGAAGATGTGTCTCCTGAAGAAGAAAAGTAGAGAACGTTGTCTCCTGAAGGAAGAAGAAGAAGTTAAGCGACGTTCGTCCTGAGAGAAGAAGAAGTAGAGAACGGTGTCTCCTGAAGAAGAAGAAGAAGTAGAGACTTGTCTCCTGAGGAGAAAGAAGAAAGTAGAGACGTTGGTCCTCCTGGAAAGCCAGAAGAAGAAGTAGAGACGTGTCCTCCTGAGAAGAAGAAGAAGTAGAGGATGTGTCTCCTGAAGAAGAGAAAGAAGTAGAGAATGTGTCTCCTGAAGCAGAAGTAAGAAGTAGAGACCTGGGCGCCTGAAAGAAGAAGAAGAAGTAGAGACGTGTCTCCTGAAGAAGAGAGAAGAAGTAGAGACGTGTCTCCTGAAGCAGAAGAAAGAAGTAGAGACGTGTCTCCTGAAGCAGAAGAAGAAGTAGAGACGTGTCTCCTGAAGAAGAAGAAGAAGTAGAGACGTGTCTCCTGAAGAAGAAGAAGAAGTAGAGACGTGTCTCCTGAAGCAGAAGAAGAAGTAGAGACGTGTCTCCTGAAGAAGAAGAAGAAGAAGTAGAGACGTGTCTCCTGAAGAAGAAGAAGAAGAAGTAGAGACGTGTCTCCTGAAGCAGAAGAAGAAGTAGAGACGTGTCTCCTGAAGCAGAAGAAGAAGTAGAGACGTGTCTCCTGAAGAAGAAGAAGAAGAAGTAGAGACGTGTCTCCTGAAGCAGAAGAAGAAGTAGAGACATGTCTCCTCACGTTGACGTGCAGCTCGGGGTGCGTCTGGAAGAAGTCAAACAGCTTCTGGTAGTTCCTGAACTGAGCATCCCACTCGCTCGACTCCACGAAGCGGAAATCATCTCCGAGCGGAACGAAAAGCACCGGAGAGCGGAAGAGGCGGGACTTCCTGCGGTACTGGTCCAATAGCAGGAGGGCTCTGAGTGTGTTACAATAAAAAGACAAAGAAGTCACAATAATAAAATATAAATATTCAAAAGTCAAACGTAAAAGGTCTCAAACTAAAGATGATAACACTTATAAATATGAACAAGGACCAGGCTCATCAGCATTCACACCTGGGATGTTAGATACTTTGAAATGTTGGCCATGAGGGTTGTGCAACAGGTCGCCTGTGTCAGTGTGTGTGTCAGTGTGTGTGTCAGTGTGTGTGTCAGTGTGTGTGTCAGTGTGTGTGTCAGTGTGTGTGTCTGTGTGTGTGTCAGTGTGTTTGTCAGTGTGTGTCAGTGTGTGTGTCAGTGTGTGCGTCTGTGTGTTGTGTGCGTCTGTGTGTGTCAGTGTGTGTGTCAGTGTGTGCGTCTGTGTGTTGTGTGCGTCTGTGTGTGCGTCTGTGTGTGCGTCTGTGTGTGCGTCTGTGTGTTGTGTGCGTCTGTGTGTTGTGTGTGTCTGTGTCAGTGTGTGTGTCAGTGTGTGTGTCAGTGTGTGTGTCAGTGTGTGAGTGTGTGTGTGTGTGAGTGTGTGTGTGAGTGTGTGTGTGTGTCAGTGTGTGTGTCAGTGTGTGTGTCAGTGTGTGTGTCAGTGGGTGTGTCAGTGTGTGAGTGTGTGTGTGAGTGTGTGTGTCAGTGTGTGTGTCAGTGTGTGTGTCAGTGTGTGTGTCAGTGTGTGTGTGAGTGTGTGTGTGTCAGTGTGTGTCAGTGTGTGTGTCAGTGTGTGTGTCAGTGTGTGTCAGTGTGTGTGTCAGTGTGTGTGTCACTGTGTGTGTCAGTGTGTGTGTCAGTGTGTGTGTGTCAGTGTGTGTGTCAGTGTGTGTGTGTCAGTGTGTGTGTCAGTGTGTGTGTCAGTGTGTGTGTGTCAGTGTGTGTGTCAGTGTGTGTGTCAGTGTGTGCGTCAGTGTGTGTGTGAGTGTGTGTGTGAGTGTGTGTGTGTCAGTGTGTGTGTCAGTGTGTGTGTCAGTGTGTGTGTGTGTGTGTGTGTGAGTGTGTGTGTGTGTCAGTGTGTGTGTCAGTGTGTGTGTCAGTGTGTGTGTCAGTGTGTGTGTCAGTGTGTGTGTCAGTGTGTGTGTCAGTGTGTGTGTCAGTGTGTGTGTCTGTGTGTGTGAGTGTGTGTGTCAGTGTGTGTGTCAGTGTGTGTGTGAGTGTGTGTGTGTCAGTGTGTGTGTCAGTGTGTGTGTCAGTGTGCGTGTCAGTGTGTGTCAGTGTGTGTGTCAGTGTGTGTGTCAGTGTGTGTGTCAGTGTGTGTGTCAGTGTGTGTGTCAGTGTGTGTGTCAGTGTGTGTGTCAGTGTGTGTGTCAGTGTGTGAGTGTGTGTGTGAGTGTGTGTGTGTCAGTGTGTGTGTGTCAGTGTGTGTGTCAGTGTGTGTGTCAGTGTGTGTGTCAGTGTGTGTGTCAGTGTGTGTGTCAGTGTGTGTGTGTCAGTGTGTGTGTCAGTGGGTGTCAGTGTGTGTGTCAGTGTGTGAGTGTGTGTGTGAGTGTGTGTGTGAGTGTGTGTGTCAGTGTGTGTGTCAGTGTGTGTGTCAGTGTGTGTGTGTCAGTGTGTGTGTCAGTGTGTGTGTGAGTGTGTGTGTGTCAGTGTGTGTCAGTGTGTGTGTCAGTGTGCGTGTCAGTGTGTGTCAGTGTGTGTGTCAGTGTGTGTGTCAGTGTGTGTGTGTCAGTGTGTGTGTCAGTGTGTGTGTCAGTGTGTGTGTCAGTGTGTGTGTCAGTGTGTGTGTGTCAGTGTGTGTGTCAGTGTGTGTGTCAGTGTGTGTGTCAGTGTGTGTGTCAGTGTGTGTCAGTGTGTGTGTCAGTGTGTGTGTCAGTGTGTGTGTCAGTGTGTGTGTCAGTGTGTGTGTCAGTGTGTGTGTCAGTGTGTGTGTGTCAGTGTGTGTGTCAGTGTGTGCGTCAGTGTGTGTGTGTCAGTGTGTGTGTCAGTGTGTGCGTCAGTGTGTGTGTGTCAGTGTGTGTGTCAGTGTGTGTGTCAGTGTGTGTGTCAGTGTGTGCGTCAGTGTGTGTGTGTCAGTGTGTGTGTCAGTGTGTGTGTCAGTGTGTGTGTGTCAGTGTGTGTGTCAGTGTGTGCGTCAGTGTAAACTCAGTGGCGTACGTGGGGCTTTAGACAGCGCCTTCAGTAAACAATAGAAAGCACTCACACTTTACACGTCTCTGTTCCAGCCAACGCAGCCATGATCACATGATGATCACATGATGATCACATGATGAGCACATGATGAGCACATGATGCCACACCGTCTCTCAACCATCACAACAGCTGATCAACCATCACAACAGCTGATCAACAATCACAACAGCTGATCAACCATCACAACAGCTGATCAACAATCACAACAGCTGATCAACAATCACAACAGCTGATCAACCATCACAACAGCTGATCAACCATCACAACAGCTGATCAACAATCACAACAGCTGATCAACCATCACAACAGCTGATCAACAATCACAACAGCTGATCAACCATCACAACAGCTGATCAACAATCACAACAGCTGATCAACAATCACAACAGCTGATCAACAATCACAACAGCTGATCAACCATCACAACAGCTGATCAACCATCACAACAGCTGATCAACCATCACAACAGCTGATCAACAATCACAACAGCTGATCAACCATCACAACAGCTGATCAACCATCACAACAGCTGATCAACCCTCACAACAGTCAGATAGATAAGGGTTAAAAGCAGACGAAATGTCCCAACATTGATCAATGAAGTAATCTATTATTAAACGTGTGTCATCGTGCACTCTCACGTCGCTCTAAAATGACCCGAATAGTAACGTACTCACCCGTCACTTGTAAATAAAGTCGATGCTACGAAGGAAGTTCAGCTCAGGACACTGTCATTGAACATCAGCATCTGATTGGCTGATGAATCTGTCACTCATGCTCACTCAAAAAGGCTAGCAGTATCTGTTGTTCCCCCGCCAACTAAAATAACTGAGAGGCGTTCAAGTGACTTTTTGATGTAGGACATTCCAGTTCAGCCTCAACAAAACCTCACTTCATTTTGTCATTTTGAGGATATTATACTATTAAAACGTATAACTAAATACTCAAGAAAAACCTTTTCCACACACTTTATGTGATTGGTTCCAGGGAGAGACGGCCCTGCTGACGGCCCACCACGGTGCATGAGTGATGATATGTGTGTGTATTTGAATGTTTACTATGTTTGTATATGTACATGTATGTGGAACTGCAGGACAGAGTCCAGAACAAATGTCCTTACGGGGACAATAAAGTATATGGTATGGTACCTCTCCTGGACGTTCTGCTCTGTGATTGGCTGAGGGGGGACCCTCCAGGGACAGAAGACCCGCCCCCCCGGCAGCCGGTGGAAGTCAAACTGACAGCAGACGGCTGGGTCGGGACCGCAGGTGTGAGGGACATCGTAACTGTAGAAGGGCATCATGTGACACGTGATGTCACTGAGGGGGGAGGAGTCTGAAACACATCAAACAGAGTGATGTCAGTGAGGGGGGAGGAGTCTGAAACTCTCTCTCTTGGATTATAGTAAATATTCTTACATATGTATTATTTCTATATATTGTTTCCTTAGTACTAGTACTCACTAATAGCACTTATTATTACAGTATTTATATAATAACAGGTGAACTAACCCCAGCTCTGCCTCCACTTGAACTCCAGAGTCTGTTGCCGGGCGAACTCCTTCTTCACAGCGTAGTGAACGCGCTGGATGACCATGTTGCTAAGCCCCGCCCCCTTCAGCAGGTAGGCCATGGAGGGGGAGTGGCCAAACGGGTCGATCGCCCAACCACTGCTCGGCTTCACACCTGCAGACAGGAGGGGACTCTTTAAAGTGGAGACACTACATACTGATATACACCTGAACATCAGCAGGAGGGGACTCTTTAAAGTGGAGACACTACATACTGATATACACCTGAACATCAGCAGGAGAGGACTCTTTAAAGTAGAGACACCACATACTGATATACACCTGAACATCAGCAGGAGAGGACTCTTTAAAGTAGAGACACCACATACTGATATACACCTGAACATCAGCAGGAGAGGACTCTTTAAAGTGGAGACACTACATACTGATATACACCTGAACATCAGCAGGAGAGGACTCTTTAAAGTAGAGACACTACATACTGATATACACCTGAACATCAGCAGGAGAGGACTCTTTAAAGTAGAGACACTACACACTGATATACACCTGAACATCAGCAGGAGAGGACTCTTTAAAGTAGAGACACTACATACTGATATACACCTGAACATCAGCAGGAGAGGACTCTTTAAAGTAGAGACACTACATACTGATATACACCTGAACATCAGCAGGAGAGAACTCTTTAAAGTAGAGACACTACATACTGATATACACCTGAACATCAGAGGACTCTTTAAAGTAGAGACACTACATACTGATATACACCTGAACATCAGCAGGAGAGGACTCTTTAAAGTAGAGACACTACATACTGATACACACCTGAACATCAGCAGGAGAGGACTCTTTAAAGTAGAGACACTTCATACTGATATACACCTGAACATCAGCAGGAGAGGACTCTTTAAAGTAGAGACACTACATACTGATACACACCTGAACATCAGCAGGAGAGGACTCTTTAAAGTAGAGACACTACATACTGATATACACCTGAACATCAGCAGGAGAGGACTCTTTAAAGTAGAGACACTACATACTGATATACACCTGAACATCAGCAGGAGAGGACTCTTTAAAGTAGAGACACTACATACTGATATACACCTGAACATCAGCAGGAGAGGACTCTTTAAAGTAGAGACACTACATACTGATATACACCTGAACATCAGCAGGAGAGGACTCTTTAAAGTAGAGACACTACATACTGATATACACCTGAACATCAGCAGGAGAGGACTCTTTAAAGTAGAGACACTACCTACTGATATGCACCTGAACATCAGAGGACTCTTTAAAAGTATATATTACCCAGGTGTGTCTGTATCCACTGATGTCCTTCTATCAGCTGATCCAACAAAGCGTAATAATGAGAGTTTGCCTCGTCGGCCATCACCCAGCCACCCGTCACCATCTCCAGCTGCCCCCCCGCCAGCAGGCTGACCAATCACAGAGCAGCACACCACAGGAGATCATTATGTTAATTCAAGACATGTCTTTCTTTCTGGATTAATATTATATTTAGTTTGAGTTACCGTTTGACCGTGTCTCTCTTCTTCTGGTCGAGCTCTTCCCACCATTTAGAGAAATAACTGATCTCTGCCCAGATCATCTTCCTCCTGCAGAGACATCACTTCCTGTTACACAGCTGATAACAGGAAGCTGATAACAGGAAGCTGATAACAGGAAGCTGAGAACAGGAAGCTGATAACAGGAAGCTGATAACAGGAAGCTGAGAACAGGAAGCTGAGAACAGGAAGCTGAGAACAGGAAGCTGATAACAGGAAGCTGAGAACAGGAAGCTGAGAACAGGAAGCTGAGAACAGGAAGCTGAGAACAGGAAGCTGAGAACAGGAAGCTGATAACAGGAAGCTGAGAACAGGAAGCTGAGAACAGGAAGCTGATAACAGGAAGCTGAGAACAGGAAGCTGATAACAGGAAGCTGAGAACAGGAAGCTGATAACAGGAAGCTGAGAACAGGAAGCTGAGAACAGGAAGCTGAGAACAGAAGCTTGAGAACAGGAAGCTGAGAACAGGAAGCTGAGAACAGAAGCTGATAACAGGAAGCTGAGAACAGGAAGCTGAGAACAGGAAGCTGATAACAGGAAGCTGATAACAGGAAGCATGAGAACAGGGAAGCTGATAACAGGAAGCTGAGAACAGGAAGCTGAGAACAGGAAGCTGAGAACAGGAAGCTGATAACAGAAGCTGAGAACAGGAAGCTGAGAACAGGAAGCTGATAACAGGAAGCTGAGAACAGGAAGCTGAGAACAGGAAGCTGATACAGGAAGCTGAAACAGGAAGCTGAGAACAGGAAGCTGAGAACAGGAAGCTGATAACAGGAAGCTGAGAACAGGAAGCTGAGAACAGGAAGCTGAGAACAGGAAGCTGAGAACAGGAAGCTGAGAACAGGAAGCTGATAACAGGAAGCTGAGAACAGGAAGCTGAGAACAGGAAGCTGATAACAGGAAGCTGAGAACAGGAAGCTGAGAACAGGAAGCTGAGAACAGGAAGCTGAGAACAGGAAGCTGATAACAGGAAGCTGAGAACAGGAAGCTGAGAACAGGAAGCTGATAACAGGAAGCTGATAACAGGAAGCTGATAACAGGAAGCTGATAACAGGAAGCTGAGAACATCATAAATTACACATTAATCTACTTTTTGTGTTATAAGACACTATTCTCCAATAAAGTTAATGAAAATGTAAATGTTTTTAAAACCAAGGGGCCCCAGACAGGAAACCTGACAGGAAGCTGATAACAGGAAGCTGAGAACAGGAAGCTGAGAACAGGAAGCTGAGAACAGGAAGCTGAGAACAGGAAGCTGAGAACAGGAAGCTGATAACAGGAAGCTGATAACAGGAAGCTGATAACAGGAAGCTGAGAACAGGAAGCTGAGAACAGGAAGCTGATAACAGGAAGCTGATAACAGGAAGCTGATAACAGGAAGCTGAGAACAGGAAGCTGATAACAGGAAGCTGATAACAGGAAGCTGATAACAGGAAGCTGGAGAACAGGAAGCTGAGAACAGGAAGCTGATAACAGGAAGCTGAGAACAGGAAGCTGAGAACAGGAAGCTGATAACAGGAAGCTGAGAACAGGAAGCTGAGAACAGGAAGCTGAGAACAGGAAGCTGATAACAGGAAGCTGAGAACAGGAAGCTGAGAACAGGAAGCTGAGAACAGGAAGCTGATAACAGGAAGCTGATAACAGGAAGCTGATAACAGGAAGCTGAGAACAGGAAGCTGAGAACAGGAAGCTGAGAACAGGAAGCTGAGAACAGGAAGCTGAGAACAGGAAGCTGAGAACAGGAAGCTGAGAACAGGAAGCTGAGAACAGGAAGCTGAGAACAGGAAGCTGATAACAGGAAGCTGAAAACAGGAAGCTGAGAACAGGAAGCTGATAACAGGAAGCTGAGAACAGGAAGCTGAGAACAGGAAGCTGATAACAGGAAGCTGAGAACAGGAAGCTGATAACAGGAAGCTGAGAACAGGAAGCTGATAACAGGAAGCTGAGAACAGGAAGCTGAGAACAGGAAGCTGAGAACAGGAAGCTGATAACAGGAAGCTGAGAACATCATAAATTACACATTAATCTACTTTTTGTGTTATAAGACACTATTCTCCAATAAAGTTAATGAAAATGTAAATGTTTTTAAAACCAAGGGGCCCCAGACAGGAAACCTACAGGAAGCTGATAACAGGAAGCTGAGAACAGGAAGCTGAGAACAGGAAGCTGAGAACAGGAAGCTGAGAACAGGAAGCTGATAACAGGAAGCTGATAACAGGAAGCTGATAACAGGTAAGCTGATAACAGGAAGCTGAGAACAGGAAGCTGATAACAGGAAGCTGAGAACAGGGCTAGGACTGAGACAGAAGCTGATAACAGGAAGCTGAGAAACAGGAAGCTGAGAACAGGAAGCTGAGAACAGGAAGCTGAGAACAGGAAGCTGAGAACAGGAAGCTGAGAACAGGAAGCTGATAACAGGAAGCTGAGAACAGGAAGCTGATAACAGGAAGCTGAGAACAGGAAGCTGAGAACAGGAAGCTGAGAACAGGAAGCTGATAACAGGAAGCTGAGAACAGGAAGCTGAGAACAGGAAGCTGATAACAGGAAGCTGAGAACATCATAAATTACACATTAATCTACTTTTTGTGTTATAAGACACTATTCTCCAATAAAGTTAATGAAAATGTAAATGTTTTTAAAACCAAGGGGCCCCAGACAGGAAACCTGACAGGAAGCTGATAACAGGAAGCTGAGAACAGGAAGCTGAGAACAGGAAGCTGAGAACAGGAAGCTGATAACAGGAAGCTGAGAACAGGAAGCTGAGAACAGGAAGCTGATAACAGGAAGCTGAGAACAGGAAGCTGAGAACAGGAAGCTGAGAACAGGAAGCTGATAACAGGAAGCTGATAACAGGAAGCTGAGAACAGGAAGCTGATAACAGGAAGCTGATAACAGGAAGCTGAGAACAGGAAGCTGATAACAGGAAGCTGAGAACAGGAAGCTGAGAACAGGAAGCTGAGAACAGGAAGCTGATAACAGGAAGCTGAGAACAGGAAGCTGAGAACAGGAAGCTGATAACAGGAAGCTGAGAACAGGAAGCTGAGAACAGGAAGCTGATAACAGGAAGCTGAGAACAGGAAGCTGAGAACAGGAAGCTGATAACAGGAAGCTGAGAACAGGAAGCTGAGAACAGGAAGCTGATAACAGGAAGCTGATAACAGGAAGCTGATAACAGGAAGCTGAGAACATCATAAATTACACATTAATCTACTTTTTGTGTTATAAGACACTATTCTCCAATAAAGTTAATGAAAATGTAAATGTTTTTAAAACCAAGGGGCCCCAGACAGGAAACCTGACAGGAAGTTGAACAGGAAGTCAGACAGGAAGTAGAACTGGAAATCGTAAAGGAAGTAAAACAGGGTTGCGGTCGGATAATCCAAAAATCAGCTCCTAAGTTCTAACCCTATCGTCTATCCCTTGACCTCTGAGTGAAAGGTCACGGGGTTAAGGGATAGTGGATAGGAGAATTCAAAAGGACTTAGGAGAAGAGACTGCGGTACTTTAGAGAATCGACTGCACTTCCACTATCCGACGTGTTTATGATGCGCCAGCGGACGTCATGAATGTGCGCCTGCTGCTGTGGGGAAACTATGGAAACTACAGTTTTCTATACAGCGGACTACAACATGGATGTTTAATAAGAACGAGGGACTACTGTAAACTCATCTAGAGACTCTGCACCGTGCTCTGATGCTGTTATGCTTTATGAACGGGGACAACAGAGAAACATATTCTTCATGACCAAAGTTGGAATTGAAATAAAAAAGGAAAGTGAAACTTATGCTCGTCACCCTCTCCCTCCGGTCCACATTAATACAAATGATCCCAATACGTATGATTGTATGAAAAGATCTTCAAATCAATACAAATGTATTTATTATAAACGTTAGTCCTTAACATCTATCACTGTGTATATCACCATTCAAACATCTTTTAAAAGTTGAACAAACCCCACACAGCTCAGTAAAGACTGTGAAATGTTGACTTTATTTGATCATTTCAGTAAAAACTAACGTTCATATTTCTCTTTTTGATTATAATACTGATGAACGTTCAAAACAAAGCACTTTGGCAACTTACCACATACGTTTTAAAATGCTTAATAAGCACCGTAACTTTCATGATATCATTTCTCGTTCATAATCGGTTGTTTCCGTGAACGGCCGACTGTTGGGTGACGGCAAATGCTGCGGCAGCAAGGCATTGTGGGGCAGCATTTTCTCCTCTCCTTTCGGTTAGGGAGGTCCAGTGGTTCCTAGGCTAAAGGAGGTTATAAAGGAAGCTTGAAACCTCCTTTCCTTTCATCTAGAGAATCAGCTCTTATCATGGCTGCCACTGAGGGACCTCCGGGTCATTAGGAAGGTTCCTGAGCTAAATGGACTATTCGACCGCAACCAGGAAGTCAGACAGGAAGTGGAAAGGAGGTGTTACTTGATAAGCGGTTGTACCTGCTGTCCTCAGACAGTTTGGTCAGCATGTTGTTGAGGATGTGTTTCGTCTGGTCGTGATAATAATTATCAAACGTCTTCAGCCAGCCTAAAACACGGCAAAACTTTATTTATAATGAGTTTATAAATAAACAGGTGAGACGTAGCGTGGACAGGAAGCAGCAGTGATGTCAGACACAAAATCACATTCAATCGTTAGCGTTACGTCGTGAAATGACGTTTTGAGAGTTACGTCGTTAGTGTTACGTCGTTAGTGTTACGTCGTTAGCGTTACGTCGTGAAATGACGTTTTGAGAGTTACGTCGTTAGTGTTACGTCGTTAGTGTTACGTCGTGAAATGACGTTTTGAGAGTTACGTCGTTAGTGTTACGTCGTTAGTGTTACGTCGTTAGTGTTACGTTGTTAACGTTACGTTATTATTGTTACGTTGTTATGGTTACCGGGGTCGTTGTGAGAGTGCGGCACCAGGATCACCTCCAGCGGCGTCTCGTCCCACTCGTCTCCTTGGTAACGGATATCAAAGCCTTGTTTCCAGACGCCGCCGGGAGGGTTATCGAACGGGAGCCGATCGTAAACATCCAGCAGCTGACGGGAACACACACTTTAATACACACTGTCACACACACTGTCACACACACACACACTGTCACACACACTGTCACACACTGTCACACACACACACACTGTCACACACACTGTCACACACTGTCACACACACACTGTCACACACACACTGTCACACACACACACACTGTCACACACACTGTCACACACACTGTCACACACACACTGTCACACACACACTGTCACACACACTGTCACACACACTGTCACACACACACTGTCACACACACTGTCACACACTGTCACACACACACTGTCACACACACACTGTCACACACACACACACACTGTCACACACACTGTCACACACTGTCACACACACACTGTCACACACACACTGTCACACACACTGTCACACACTGTCACACACTGTCACACACACTGTCACACACACACTGTCACACACACTGTCACACACTGTCACACACACACTGTCACACACACTGTCACACACTGTCACACACACACTGTCACACACACTGTCACACACACTGTCACACACACTGTCACACACACACACACTGTCACACACACTGTCACACACTGTCACACACACACTGTCACACACACTGTCACACACACACACACACACTGTCACACACACTGTCACACACACTGTCACACACTGTCACACACACACTTTAATACACACTGTCACACACACAATGTCACACACACAATGTCACACACACAATGTCACACACACAATGTCACACACACACACAGACACTGTCACACACACACTGTCACACACACACTGTCACACACACACTGTCACACACACACACTTTAATACACACACACTTTAATACACACTGTCACACACACACTTTATACACACGGTCACACACACACACACTTTAATATCCAGAAATGATGTAAATAATGTAATAAATAAAAGAAAATTCAGCAGAAAGTAAAAAACGTGAAAGTGAAAAACGATAAACCAGATTTCACAACAAAACATCTGTTAGCATCTGCTAAGCTAACCTGCACTTCGTCGGCTCCGCCCTTCGTCTCGTCGGCCAATCGGCAGCCAGGCAGCGGGTCAGCTGGGCTGTGGGCGGAGCTTACATTGGCTCCTCCTCTATTGTCCCCTTTAGGGTGTAGCAGAGAGTTTCGTAGCGTAGCAACCAGACGGTTGTTGTCGCTAAGGAGACGCTCCAACCTGTCAATCTTCTGAGCGAGGCGGGACAAATCCTGCAGACAGGAAGTGATGTCATCAGAAAACTTAGAGAAACTAAAAACTCCATAAATCAAAAAGTAATCGAAGTAAAAGTGAAGTGTTATTATAGAAAAAGGGGAGGAAGGTTAAATATGAATATTGCTCTGCGGGAACCCGAGGGACACGTTTCATATTTAATGATTCAATAGAGAAGCAACTGTTGCTAACGCTTAGCAGCAGCGTAGCATAGTCTCTGCACTCGTTGCTATTGTAAGCATTTCTATGTATGTATTGTTTAGAGGGGGGGGGGGGGGGGTGCTCACCTGGTCCCCCTGTCCTGCAGGTGCTTCCTGCTGAGGCTCCGCCCCCTGCTCCAGCATGCGATGCAGTGACATCATGGCGGCGATGAAGACTCCGCCCACAAAGAGCGCGAGCAGCCGCTTCCTCTTCATCTGGAAACACGTGATATTAATATACGCTAAGACATTTAGATTAGGGCTGTCAAGTTAACGCGTTAATAACGCGTTAACGCAAAAAAAATTAACGCCACTAATTATTTTAACGCGATTAACGCATGTGTATTTTTTGTCCTCGGCCGCCCCGTAGTTTCAGAGCGCATCGAGTTTAAAATACCGTCGACAAGCTGATGCTGACAGCCCCGCTCCTGCCGCCCGCTTGTGGCAGACCACACTTCCACGCTCACCGGCAGGCCCGGACTGGCCATCGGGAGGACCGGGAGGGAGTGTGTATGTGTGGCGCGACTCGCGCGAGCGAGGCACACCTTACGTGTTGTTGTTGTTAGCATCTGGTGCTAGCTAGCTGCGCTAACGGATATAAGGAGCTGTTTCAATGACATTTCGCCGACAACTGCGCCGAGCACTTGACTTTATGCAGGTAGCCAGACAGTGGGACATTGTACGAAAAGTCAGCACACTCAGCACGGATAGTACGCGCAACATGATTGCAGCGTCCAGGCAGCTCCCATTCGAGCATTTATGCCTTGAGCTGCACATAGCTCCAACGATCCATCACAGTGTCCAAACACACACACGCACGCACGCACGCACGCACGCACGCACGCACGCACGCACACACGCACACACACACACACACACCCACCACACACCACACACACACCACCACACACAGCAACACACACACCACGACACACACACACACACACACGCACACACACCACACACACACACACACACACACACACAACATCACACACACACACACACACACATTCACACACACACACACACACACACACAACACACACACACACGACACACACACACACACACACACACACACACACACACACACACACACACACACACACACACACACACACACACACACACACACACAGATGAGAGAGGTTCCAGGTTGAATTGAGGTGAATATTTGTAATGTTCAGGTTGTGTGTGTTTAATATTCATGAGAATATTTGTCATTGTTCAAATGATAATAAACAAACATATAAAGCATAGTTGTCCACTCATATGTTGATAAGAGTATTAAAAACTTGAAAAATATCCCTCTAAGGAACATTTAGAACAGATAAAAAATGTGCGATTAATTTGCGATTAATCGCGATTAACTATTTTAATCGACTGACAGCCCTAATTTAGATACATGTTTTTAATAACATTTCAATATTTGAAGCATTAAAAAAAAACATTACAAATATTATAATCTTTATGAAACATAAACATTTTAAGATATTTGAATTTTTTCAGGACATAAAATATTAAAGGTGGGGTAGGTAAGTTTGAGAAACCGGCTGGAGATACACTTGTTGTTATATTCCATGGAATGCTCTTAACATCCAGATAGCAATGAATATCTGAAGTGCTTTGACAATAAATCCATAAAAAGTCATCTGTGGAAGCTGTAATACTGTAAAATAGGATAGTGGTGGTCTAATGGATAGTGAGGTGGGCTGAAGATCGGAAGGTTGTGAGTTCAAATCCCGCCTGGAATACCACCACTATTCCCTTGAGTAAGGCCCTTAGCCCTCAGTTACTCCAGGGAGAATGTCCCTGTAATCGGTCATTGTAAATCGCTTTGGATAAAAGCGTCAGCTAAATTAAATGTAATGTTCTGTAAAAAGCACGACCAATCATCTGAGCCGGCCCGGCTAAAATGACTGGATGGCCTACCTGCCTGTCAGCCTTCCATCTGGGCACAAACTTATCTGGTGCCCTCATTGGTCATGTGCGCGTTCGTGTGTGTTGGAGGAGGGGCTCTGTGGCAGGAAGTGGCAGATTTTCTCCGGCTGTGTTTTTTCAAATTCTAGCGATCTCGAGCTGGTTTCTCCAAAATTACCTACCCTACCTTTAATCTTTAAAATGTTAATAATTTCAATACCAAGACATTTATCTGTTTTTTCTTCATTTAAAGAGTTTAATAACATCATATTTACAGGTGTTTATCTCAGGTGTTATATTGAGTTAGTGAGATCTCACTGAAGGTTTAACTTTCATCTGAAGTTAAAGATCTTTAAATAATTAACTGTGACGTCACAGTTTATATAAACTGTGACGTGTCTCTCAGCACTTTAATAATAATTTAATAAAAGCCGTTTCTAATTCAATAAACGGCTTTTATTCCTGAACATGTTAAATAATAAATAAAGATTATTTTAAAGTGTTCTGTAATTAGAGCCAGAAACGGCGCGCGCAGCTCAAACGGGCTTAAAGATAATATCTAAACTTCATATTAAAATTCAAACTTGCCTCACTGCACTTCCGCGTTGCTGCTGCAGAGTGTCGCGTGCTGTTCGTCCCGCGCGATGACGCAGATTCCCGCGGGAAGAAACTCAGATAAAAAAGTTCTTAATTATTAAAGTTAATATAATTAAAAACGTTGAAGTCTGTCGGAGCGTTTGTGCACGAGCTCTGCTGTTTGTTTTGCTTCCGGTTTGGTTCAGCTGACTCAGCGCTGCCGACACTTCCTGCCAGGAAATGACGTCATTTAGGAGGAGGTCCTTAAATCCCATTAAATGTAGTTTAAAAAGTACTTTAAACAGTACTTTAAAAAGTACTCAGATCACTTCAGGAAAAGTACTTTAAATACTCCATTAGTGAAAGAATGTCTAAATGTTAATATATTGATGTAATAAATGCAGAATATTTTATATTCTTTATATGTGTTTTCTACTATAGATATAGATATATATATATATTTGCTGTTTATTTTATTGTTCAAACTTTATTCCACCTCCTAAATGCTGTAACAGATCAATAAATAATACTTACCTTTAAAGGTCCCATGTCACGGACATTTCCACTGATCATAGTTCCATAGTAGAGCTCTACTAGAATAGATGTACATTGTTCAATGTTCCAAACTCACATTGGTTTCTCATCCAGCATCTCTGTATAGTATGTGTATTCACTCTCTGTCCTACACGGCTTGTTGGAGCTCCTGCCCCCCCCCTCCCTGTGAGCCCACTGTGCTCTGATTGGTCAGCTCGCCCACTCTGTTCTGATGAGTCCACCACCGTTACAGCTGAACATCAGTGATTATGTTTTACAATGGCGTTTGTTAGCAACCAGGAAATGACCCCAGTAATGACAAACAGATGAGAATGCTGCGTGGGGTCTGGGGGCCGTGTTGGGGGGACGTTGGGGGGCTCGCTGCTCCGCCCTGTGAGGCTCGAGGAGCGGACAGT